TTAATGGTCCTCCCATTCGTCCACTTCTTTTCCTTTTTAACTTGTCAATGAATAATCTTAAATCGCCAATCCTCATGTCCCCAAGTGAGATCGACAATCAAGGGAARCAGGCATCTCTTYGCATGAATAATTTAGGGCTAGAGTAAGCCCTCTTTGTTTTCATAATCACATGTGGCAAGATTCAAAAAATACTCTCTCATGATTCTTCAAAACGAACAAGGAATGTTATTACCATAAGCTTGCTCATGTATCACATCTCCACCACTTATCATGAGTGCAATGCATCAAAAGGTGAATTAGGGTTTGGGATCTAGAGATGAGTGCATTTTATGCTCCATCTCACCCTTTTATTCTTTAGTGTGAGTGCATTTTATGCTCCATCTCACCCTTTTATTCTTTAGTGTGAGTGCATTTTATGCTCCATCTCACACTAACTCTTTTTTCTCTCGGTGTGAGTGTATTTTATGTTCCATTTCACACGAGTTTTTTTTTTTTTTTGATAACACATTCCAATACATGAACTCATTAACGTGGTCTCCATCATCCGATTTGTCTTTCTTTGCTCTTGATGCCTTCTTTCATACCCTGGACCAAAATACAAGAGATATGAGTTCAATTAGATACTAATTTAGTATAAAAGATAGAATAATTGGGGATAAAAATATGATAAATTCTACTCTCATCAGATACAATGTGTGGATGATAATGCAGTTTACGAATGTAGCCAAGGGAAGCAAAGGCACCCAAAGGATTTTAAATGGGTGTAGTCAGGACGGGAGTGAAACAACCGTTCAAATGGAGACTGGGAACGAGATGCTAGAAGTGGCATATGATTGATGAGAGAGCAGTAGTGAAGGCTTCGACCCAAAAACGTGATTGTAAAGAGGCATGGGCAAGAAGGGTGAGTCCCTTTTCAACAATGTGGTGATGTTTGCGCTCAACCACACTGTTTTGTTCGGGTGTATGAGGGCATGAGAATTGGTGTGTAATACCATGAACACTAAGAAGGGAGGTGAAGGGTGTGCCAGAAAATTTACCCCCCCCATCCGTAGGCAACACCTTAATTTTTGAGTCAAAGAAATTTTTGAAGGGATGAGAGATCCATCCTATGGACGCCCAAAGATTGTGGAATAA